CTTTTATTTGTATGGGCATGTTTTTCTTTAATTTTGGGAAACTTTTTTCTAAGATTCTGTTGAAGATCTGGCCCATGCTGTTATCTTGGGATTCTTCTCCTTCCTGTATGCCTATGATTCATAAGTTTGGTCTTTTCATGGTGTCACACAATTCCTACAAAACAAACAAAGGCTTTCTCCTGTCATTTCTAATTGGCTTTCTGAGTGTTTCACTTCCTTCTTCATTTCAGCCCAAGTAGTCTTCAATATTTCTAGCTCTTTTCTGAATTCATTCAGAAGTTTATCCCTATCTTCCTTCAGTTCTTTGATTTCTTTTTTTTTTTTGTTCTTTAAATTCACTGAATTCTTTTATCATGTTTATAATCGTTCTTTTGAGTTCCATGTCCTGCATTATCTCTAGGGGGTTCTCATTATACTCCTCTAGAGGACTATTAGTATTTGGTGGGGATAAATTATTTTGGTTTTTCGTGTTATAATTTTTCTCTATGATTTTGACATGTGAATTTCTTTTGTAGTTTCTGATTCTTGTGTGAGACTCAATTCTTCATGCTCAGGTCTGCTTCTTTTCATGAACTTTATATGTCTTTGTTGTTTCCTTTTTGGGCATGAAAAGCTGGTTTGTCTAAGCTTATTGTTCTCTCTTTTGATTTTATATTGGAGTAGCCAGATTGTTTTTGTCTTCAGGAGTTCCCAAAAAGGCCCAAGTCAGATGAGGATCAGATGCTCTCAAGCTTTCTCCTAAGGTATGGATCCCTCCAGGAAAGATTTTGGCCTTGGGAATTTGGGGCTTGGACTGGCCTTAGAGCAGGGCCCAGGAAAGATGCTGGTCTTGGGCAGCTGGTGGCCCTGACACTCAGAGACCCAAAGGGGGATGGGGGCAGGAAGAGGTTCCAGGGGCTCCTGGAGACTGCATTGAGGAACTGGGTTGATCTGGATACAAAGGATCAGGAAGCTGAGAGGTCAGCACTGGTGTCCAGGAAAGAGGCTGGCAGGTGGTGCAGTCCAGGAAGGCAGAAGGAGGTGAGGGTGGGACCAGGCCCAGAGGGCTCCTGTGGACCTCGAGAAGGACCTGGGTCCTTCTGGATGCAAGGGATCAGGAAGCAGTGGTGGCCCTGGGTTGGGAGTTCAGCCCTGGAGTCCAGGAAAGAGGCTGGTGGGCTGTGCAGCCCAAGGAAGTAGAGGGAGGTGAGGGCGGGACCAGGCCCAGAGGGCTCCTGGGGACTTCAAGAGGGAACTGGGTTGGTCTCTATGCAAAGGAACAGGAAGCAGTGGTGGTTCCCCTGGTGTCTGGGGTGCCAAGACAAGGAATGCGATAGGACCCAGGCTAGGATGAGAGACAGGCAGGGGAGATGGGAATGTGAATGAGGCTGGGGGAGTCAAGGCTCGGAGGGAGGGGCCAATCTACTTACCTCAGAGAGAGGCTGGCAGGTTGTGAAAGCCCAGGGAAGCAGAGGAAAGTACTAGAGTCACACTGTTAAAGAAGACCAAGTCTCCCTCACTCAGCAGTGATAAGTTGCCAATAGTTCCTCAGCTAAGGTTGGGGCTTCTTACCTATTTCCAAGTTCTATGCTGTGCATTTGTCTGTTTTGAGTTTGCATGGGTCTTGTGGATGCTGTCACTGTTGCTGTAAGTGCATCTGAGGAAGTTCCCAGTCATGATGATTGAGATCTCATTAGAAACAATGAGGAAACTGAACATAGTGGAATAAGAATTTTAAAAGATTTCAGAATGAGCATGCCTAGAACTTATTTGTAGCAAAAATATTCTTTAGGTTAAAAGTGTATAATACTACTTCTAGGTAATTTTTTAAGAATAGCTGGTTATAGTGAAAATAGTGATGTGATGAAATTTATAAATACAAAATGATATGATGAGAGCAGAAATATGGAAAGATTATTAATAGAATTACACTTTTGCTAGTTTTATACACATTTACTGTATGACAATGTATTCATGGTAGGCTATGATAACAATTTATAAATTGATAATTTTTAAAATTATAAATTATAATTTCAGTTATATAGCCAAGTGAGATGAGAATAATAATTTAAAAATCTAGAGAACAGATGAAGAGATGAGATCACTGAAAATGAAGATGGTATATTTACAATCCATTTCTACTGTATTAAAAATGATAAATTATATGTTCCTTATAATTGCACTTTATATGAGAAAAATCAGTGGGGATTTTGTAAAAAGTTATAATTGTGGGACTGGCAAGATGGCTCAGTGGTTAAGAGAACTGGCTGTTCTTGCAGAGGACCTGGGTTCAGTTCCTTGCATCCACATGGTAGCTAATGACCATCTGGAACTCCAGTTCCAGGGACTCTGATGCCTTCTCTGGTCTCTGTGAGCATCACACAATATATGTGCATTTGCATGCATGCAGCAAAAACACTCATCCACATAAAACAAAATTTTAAAAAGCTATGATTATTATATAAAGACTAATGTAGAAAAAACAACATGGATATTGAACCAGTCAAAGCAAAATTCTGGACCAGTTATGTTTCCAGCAGTAAAAATAACTGTCTAGGAAGCTACTGGCAGTCATAGTTGCTTGGGGAGGGAGGGTCATTCTTTTTTTGAGATGTGGCCTCTGGTTGGTTTCCAATGTCCTGAATGGCCTCATAGCCATGCACATATGGGCAGCACTAGTTGGACTTGGTGGGTTACCAAAAGAAGAAAGACGTGAAGTAGGAGGGGGAGATGTTGGAGAATATGGGGGTAGCTGGAGAAAGAAATGGGAAATGGGGGTGTATAATGGTCATTATATATTTATATATATATATGTGTGTGTGTGTGTGTGTGTGTGTGTGTGTGCGTGTGTGTGTGTACATGAAGTCTCAAAGCAAGCAGAGTCTCCCAGGCCTCTGATAACTTGCTCATATGAACCTATAGCAATAGTATCATGCACAAGACCCATGCAAACTCAGTCAGACAAAAACTCAGCATACAACTGGGAAAATGGACAACAGGCCCCAACCTTAGCCAAAGAATTATTGACAGGTGATCACTGCTGGGTAAGGGAGAGTTGATCTTCTTTAAGGGAGAGACTCTAGATTGGAGTCTTAAGTCCACTCCAGTGTATGAACTTGCATGGAGGGACATCTGACTAGTGACTCCATAGGCCTTAAAATATATGATAGAATGCATGAAATCTGGTGGAGGGGATTTGGGGATTGAGGATGGGTTATAAAGATGATTAAGATGTTTTGTATGAAGTGCACAAAATTCAATAAAAAGTATACATTGGAATAAATGGAAAAAAGTTGATCAATGACAGAAGTGACTGTTCTTCAGTAATACGCAGCACTGCTGGATAAATATTTTTGCCTCTTATAATCAAATTTAAAATTCAAGAAACATGATTTGTCAAAGTCTCAGTGAAGGACAAATCTATGACAGCTGAACATTTTGACTCATAGCCATTAGTACATGACAGCATACATAGACCAATTAGGCAGAAATTCTGAAGTTAAATCAGACTAATAGTGCTGGATCATTTTTGTAAAACCAGCCCTTAGGAGGCTGAGGCAGAGGGATTAAAAGTTTGAAATCTACCTGGGCTATGTAGTGGGACTCTGTCTCAACAAACTAAACCAAGCAAAATCAAAACCATATACTGTTGGCTGACCTGAATTAACTGGTGTCCTTGTTATCTATAGGATTTACATTCTTTTCAGTAGCACAGAATGTTCAAAGAATCAAATGGCATATCATTAAACAAATCTCAGTGCTAAAAACTACAATCCAGGCTAATGCAGGACTTACTAAGTAGAATCAATTCTCTATTTAAATCATAATAAGCAGTTATACCTGAAGGGAAAGGAAGAGGAAGCACTTTGGAGTCTCAGTCCATAGCATATTGACTATAACTAGGTGGTTTATCAGACCCTTTTGATCTGGCAGCTGAGCTCATTTCTTTATTACAGAGCAATTATGCTTTCTAAGATTTACTTCCGAATCTGTAGTTACATGAAAATGTTGGCCATTGTCTTTGGACCTGTTTTCAGAAAAGTTCTTCTATTAGTATGAAAAGAGTTTTTGAAGACTGATAGAAAAAATTCATGTTTATATACATGTACATTTTATACTATATGCATTATAATGCTTTTGGGACACAGTAAGCACTTAAATGCTAACAAATTACTAGTATCTTACATTTTATAACATAAATTTATGGCTGAAAATCTGAATTCCATGTCTTCATGCAAAATTGTTTAGTCAACACTTTATTATAGGGAAACTGAATTGATAATATATTTTCATTTTTACATATAACACTAAAATTAACAACTTTATATTTTGCTAGCTCTCAGAGATCTCAAAGTCCCTCTTTACTTTGCTTTGTAACTCAAGAGAGTGACTTCATGGCAGAATCAGCCACATTTCTGGCCTTCTTGACACCAGTTGAGTTTGGTAGTGGAGGACAGGGCAAGAAATGCAGGTGCTTGAGGAAAGAGGATGTAGCATTGACATCCCTGGTGTCCTGCTGCATGATTTGACTGGGTAAAAGCATATTTTCCCCAATGAAACCTACCATTCTTCCTAGCAGCTTCCCTTGTGAATCCAGGTCTTACTGATTTCTTAATGTTGAAACTTCTTTCACTTTTTAGAAGTCCTAATGATAATAGTGTCCTGTAGTTACTCACATGTAAGTGTTTCTGGTTTCCCTGACTCAGAAGGGCTGCAGACAATTGTTTTATTGCATATTTTTAGCTAAAACTCATTGAATGAGCCATTTCTTTCCAACTAGTAGCTGTGTATAGCCTCATACTTGTCATTTAACATTACTTTGTGCACATTCACCAGAACAATTACTGAGCCCAATAGTAGAAAAACATTAAAGGGCTTTAGCACGTGTAGGTAAACAGTGTCCATATAATTTCTAATGTTTATTTTTTGAGATCCCATTTCAACATCAACTGAGACCACACTATTGTAAGTGCATAGGGGTTTGCTTTGTTGGGACCAAAGTCTGTTATTCTGATTGTTTCTTATTCTATCTGTTTTGGGGGGATGCAGCTCCTGGAAAGAACCTTACCTATGGCCCCTTTCATCTCACTGTTCCTCAGTGTGTAAATAAGGGGGTTGAGAAATGGGGTTCCCAGTGTGTATACCAGAGAGATGAACTGATCTTGCTTGGGGTGGTAGCTGGAGTTGGGGCGCAGGTACATGAAGGCGCAGCAGCCGTACTGCAGCAGCACCACAGTGAGGTGTGAGGAGCAGGTGCTGAAGGCCCTGCTGCGGCCAGCTGCTGACTGTAGCTTGAGCACGGTGGACACTATCAAGGCGTAGGAGGTAGCTATGAAAAAGAAAGGCACAGCAATGGCTAGCGTGGCTGCCACCAGCACAGAAAGCTCATGGATGTGGCTGGTGGCACACACAAGACGCATCACTGGTGGCACATCACAAAAGAAGTGCTCAATTCCCCGAGCCCGGCAGAACGGCAGACAGAAGATGAAGGCCACAAGTTGTACAGATAAGAACAAGCCGATGACCACAGAAGCCATAACCAGGCGGACACAAAGAGTTATAGTCATGATGAGAGGGTATTGCAAAGGGTGACAGATGGCAACATATCGATCATAGGCCATAGAAGCCAGGAGGAAGCAATCAGCACTGCCGAGGCCAATGAAGAAAACCATCTGAGTGGCGCAGCTCAGCAGGGTGATGGTCTTCTCTGAGTGTAGAGTGTTGGCCAGGATGTGGGGCACCACCACTGCAGTGTAGCATAGTTCTACCCCTGAGAGGCCGCCCAGGAAATAGTACATGGGCGTGTGTAGGCGGTCTTCTGTCTGGATGGAGACCACGATGAGGACATTCCCAGAGATGATCAATGCATAAGCCAAGCCGATGCCTACAAAGCACAGTATTTGCAGCTCTGGGCAGTTGGGGTAAGCCAGGAACACAAAGTCCATCAGTACTGAGTGGTTCTCCCATGCCATTGGGTTCATATCTGTTCTCTTTTGAGTAGAATGACAGCAACTATCAGACTGGTGACAGCTTTACACTACAGTCTTTGAATTTTATTAATCAAATCCAGAGTTGTGTTCAAGATGGATAAGTACTAGTTCCATATGTCCGTTTTTTTGAAGTCTGTCTACCTGTTAATTTCTATCTGTAGACAGCTGAACAAGGAAAGACTATTAAGCAAAAGAGGAAATAAATTCAGGAAGGTATTTTCAGCAAGAACAGAATAAAACTTAAATTTAGTAAACACACATGTAAGCATCAAAGAATTCTTGGTGATAGTCACTCAAGTGATGTAGCTAAGATATTTGTTTATTTCCTCATATGCTTATTGTTTATAAATTTCACTGATTTGTTTATGTATTTCACTGACCTCTAAGGTGTCAAGTCAGTGATATGTGGAGGCCACAGTCAAAGCTCATAGTGAGGTGGATAATGAAGAAAAGAAAGCAGTGGGAAAGGAATGAGAAATGTCCACGGGGCAAAGTCTGGCTCAGGACTGATTTGACAGCAGGAATAAGCTGCAGAAAAGCATGTGCTCCCCATTCCTGACTTCTCTAAGCTTATCTGGCCAGGAGAGGCATGGCTGGAAGAAAATAGTATTTGAGGGTTGGTCTTCTTTAAAGAAGTGACCTTAGATAGGTTGACCAAGGTCCAGTGAATGGACTCATACCAAGGCACATTTGGGGAGGCAAACTTGACTCAGCAGGCCTTAACATATATGATGTATGAAATCTGAGGGGGTGCTATGGGAGGTGCAGATGGGGGAAGGGGTTTAAATATGCATGAAATGCACAAAATTAAAAAATTAAAAGAAAATGTCATTTTATCTTAGGCTTTATTCTAACACATTAAAAGACATGATAAAGAGCTACTGGAAATCCAAAATCAATTTCTGTGAGTTTGCACAGGAGTATAGAAGATCAAGCCAATGTCTTTTTGCATATTTTTCTTCACTTGTTAGGAGCAAATGTGAAATCTAGGGAGAAATCAGCATTTTCCTTAACAAGGAAAGCACCCCCCCCAACTTTCAGTGAATACACAACTACTCACAAAGACTATTGATTCCACTTATTTTCCTAAACTAACTTGTATTTGGGAAGGAAGAAGAGGGGAGACATGTAACCTTATTTCAACTCATCAAATTTTAATATTTCCCATTAGTCAATATGATCATTGAAGAAAATCTCTTACCAAATACCTCCCCTCACAGTAAACATCGCACAAACCTGCCTTGATGTCACAAGCACATGCGCCCATGTGATTAGATTTTATAACTGTTAATAACATATAAGGTATGGATGGCTCTCTGTTTTTTTCTTATAGCTGGGAAGTGGTCTCTCTTTCATTCATTTTCTTTTCCTCTTCTGAATTTCAATAATACTTCGAATAGCTTCTAATGATAGTTAGCATTCTATACATTTTGCTACATTGTGAGGAGGAAAGGCACTGTGTGAGTTTGATATGAATTTGATAGTAAATGATGTGGTTTGTGTGATTCTGTCCACTGGCTTTGTGATGTAAGCTGTATGTAATTTCTCATGTTATTTATTTGGAAAATGGGGAAATATACTTAGTTCAAAAGGTTATTATGAATTATTATGAAGTTAAGTGAGGTAGAGATGATCAGAGCAACTAATCCACAGTAAAAGCAACCTAGTAAAACATGACCATCAGTATTATTTGTAAGTTCAGGGAAAGTTACCTGCCTTATTTTTATCTTTCTATAGCAGCAAGGCAGATGTCATATATGTTTATATACAATATTTGTAAAATACCCTGAAATACACAAGCCGTTTTATATTTTCATGTGTGAGCATACACAAGTCCCATGGAAACTCAGGCAGACAAAAACCCTGCATAGAACTGGAAAAATCAACATCAGACCCCAATCTTAGCTGAAAAAAACATTGGCAACTGATCATTGCTAGGTGAGGAAGAGATGATCTTCCTAAAACAAGAGACTCTAGATATGCTGACTAGACCTCAGTGGATAGACTTACACTGGGGAACACCTGGGGACACTTGACACATTGGGCCTTAACATGAATAACAGAGTATATGGGTTCCAGTGGGGAGGGGGTTATGGGAGGGTGCCAGTGTGGACGAGGGTATAAAATGATTAGGATTGTTTGAGATATTCTGTATAAAATACACAAAATTTCAATAGAAACAAATTTAAAAAAGATTATTTCTTAGTAAAATTATTTGTTTAAGAATGCTTATGGAAAGCAACTTATATCCTACTTTTAAGCCACATTATGGAGAACAGTCCATGACTTAAGAATATAACATGGTGGTATCTATAACAAACAGAGAATTTAAGGATTATCTTATCACCTGTATAATGATGGAGGCCTTTGAAGTCCATGTACAATGATGAATTCCTAGAATTTTATTGGAGTCCATCAAACTCATGCTCTTTGTGTTTTGATAAAATTTTCATGTAGGGGTTATCAAAAGTCATGAACTCTTAGTGCTGAAAGTGATCACAGAAATTGGCTAGCACAGTCCTTTACAGGGGACTTAAATCTTTAAGAAAGTATTAGGACATGTGACATTTTCAACGTCCAGTGAATCCAATAACTCCTGGAATTCTTGCTTCATTGTTAAAAGACATGATTCTCTGATAGTTGTTTCTGGTGATCAGCTGAAACCTACCTTTGTGTGATTTCCATGTGTTAGTTCTATTCTAAACAACAGGGTGTTTTCTACACAGAACACTAAAGAACTGTTTCTGCAGCCCTAAAAGCTCTTTCCTATTGATTTTTAGCATTTCTTAATCATTATGATTTGGATGTGTGTCGTAGTTTATAAACTGGAAATGTTCTCAGGTACACCATCTTCCTTGAGAGCACACCACATGGATAGACAACAGGAAAGATATATTAGAAACTTTTAGACAGATAAAGCAGTATAGTTAATTGAGGAAAAAATGAGAATAAAACAAAGATAGCAAAAATTATATCAACAGATTGCCCATTTACTGTTTTAAGTGGTCACTAAATGTGATGCATGGGGTGATTACTTTATCGTCCTCTACTGAACAATCCCTGCCAAGACTCAGTGCACACAGGTGGAAACCCGCATTACTCTTACCTCCTCCTTACCTCTCCAAAACACACAGCCTCACTCAGTAAGAATGATATGAAAAAGTTAATCTCTGTGCATTTTGGAGACTCAGTCTAGTCTAGAACAGCATTCCCAGTATCTAGTTAGTATTACATTAAAAGGGGGAGAGTAGACTTGGCATTCAAAGACCTTAGTTAGATTCTCCATATGATATTAATATCATAATCTCCAGAGAAAAATCATCTCACACAGATTTCTGTTTCATTGCTTAAAGACGTAAGTAATAATACCAGATGGGGTTGTGATGAGATTAAATCACAAGGTATTTAGATCAATTGACTTGGTGTATGAACCCATGAAGGTGCATAGTACATCTTTTCTTTGCTCTTGTATCCGTTATACATATGATATTAATAATATCAGCTTCATGCAAAGAATAGTATAAAGCTTCAAATGAGGAAGGACAGTATTTAAATTTATCAACATTTGCATATTAAATTCTTTAGCAGTTCTAAGAGATTATTTATTAATATTTTAGTCCAAGTGTTTGGACTTTGAAGTGAATTCTGAGGCCATTGCAATTCTGAGAGTACCTACAATTTGCAAATCAAGGGGTAGAGACTCTTACCTTCAGTGTGAGGAAAAAGAAGTTTGTACTGGATCAGCGTCCTCAGGTGTACCTACAAATGACAGAACCTAGAATGTGCAGTTTGACTACTCTAGTGCTTCAACTTGAAGAATAGACAGTCATCTTGGAGAGACTCTTCTGGTGGGACAGAGCCTTTGCAGCCCCTCCCAAACAAAAGCCATGAAAGAGTAAATTGTTTTGTTACCTAGAGTCTTCCCCATAGATTTCATCTCCCAGAAGAAGGAATTCAATGATTGCTGATCTCCCATGTTACCAGACAATTCTGAGGGATTTAGTGATTAACATATTTATAAAGGTATAGGAATGTTACAAGAATGAATAAGGAGCTGCCAAAATGAGTACCAGCAAACACCATGAAGGACAAGATTCTCATCAACTTTGTGTCAGGATTGTTCCCCAAATGTTATATTTGAGAAGAAAACATTCCAATAAGAAATAGTACAGTAGAAAAGACACATGGATGAACACAGCCAGCACAACTTGGAAAAGTAAAAAATAGACAGAGAAGAGTGAAACTTCCTATTATGAAAGCTTAGTGTGGAGCTCAAATAAGTGAACCTGTGCTTTTCAAAGAATTGAGGCTCTATCAGTAGAAAAAATCACAAAGCTTGAAAACATGTTCAAACATACATGAGAGGCTACTCGAGAGCAAAGGTGGTATATATTATATCTGTTGGAGAAGGAAATATTTATTGAACCTTTGATGATGGACTGATTGATTAACTCTTTGGGAAGAGGAATTTGAACTGTATCTCACAGCTTACAAAGCTGTTCAGATACAGCCAGTGCTACAAACAGCACAAGGAAGTCTTTTATTGCCTTCTCACCATTTGGTAAAAAATATATTTCTTCAACTTAAACATATTTATTAAAGTGATAAAAAGCATATGTAGTTTGTCATTTAGAATATTTGAAATTCCATATGTCAAAATATAAAAGACAAATGAAATAATAAGAAAGCATTTCTCACAAACAGCAAATGCATATTCTGGATTTATCTCCCAGAGGCCTCATTCACTTTATCTCTTAGAGGCCCAGATTTTAAGCTGACTTATGCTATTGAGGTAAATCACATGAAACTTTAGTGGCTTTAAACAATAGGGATTTAGTTTTTGCCCACCTTACCAAAGTGGTCTATGGATTCAATGCAATCCCATCAAAATTCCAATGACACTTTCCACAGAACAAGAAAAAGTTCTAAAATTCACATGGACACAAAAGATGATAATAGACAGAAAGGGTTGCAGGGGGCTG